GTACAGCAGTGTGTGTGTGTGTGTGTGTGTGTGTGTGTGTGTATGAGAGAGAGAGAGAGAGAATGTGTGCTTTCAATTATATAGACAGGTGAAAAACGAATGAAAGCCTGTGGACCCATCAAAAAACATTATAAAATCTAAAATACGTCCTCTTAGCTTCTGCTCTTGTGTATTTTAGAAATGAAACCTCACAGAGTTGCAGCTGAGCCTCTGTTTCTTCATCTTAACAAATGAAGCAGTTAGTTTAGCTGAACTCCATTCCAGGACACAAAGGCATTAACTTAAAAAAGTAGACCCAAGAGTGCCTGCATAATCAACAATTGTATACCTAACCCTGAATTGTACCCCACGTCTTTATAATAAAAAAAAAGTAGACCTACATTTTTACTTTATCTCTAAGTATCATGAATAATTTACTTTCAAACATATGCAAAGCAGAACCATCGTGGCACAGCTATCTGTGGTCATTGGAGTGTGTTTGCTTTTGTCTTGGGCGACAGGCAGATCCACACAGAAGTCAGTTTGAGTAATAGAAGGTTCTAATTCTCATACCAGAGGGCAAAGGCAACAATTTTTCTGTTTTCCAAGTTATGCCAAGAAACATGCCATTCTTGTTACAGACGTGGAGGGACATGATTTTCTCTGCAAAGTATCAAGTCTGTAGCATAGCAAGAGAGGTTCGTAGCAAAATTCTTCCCTGTGGAGGAGACCTTTGGCTAATAACTAACCAAACCTAAAGCGGCCAACCCCATTCTCCACCTCCACCTCCCAAATAAAACTCTTAAAAAATCTAGAGAATTGAGAGACATTGGCTATCAACTAAAAAAAAAAAAAAAAAAATCAAACCAGCTTGCAACAGTGACTTAAATTATGAATGCTAGACATAAGTCTCAATGAACCCAAAGTGACTCTCTTAAAGATGGAAAGAAGACCGGGCTCAGAGGCTCAGCCTGTAATCCCAGTGCTTTGGGAGGCCGAGGTGAGTGGATTTCCTGAGCTCGCGGGTTCGCAACCAGCAACTTGGCGAGACCTCATCTCTACAGTAAATCAAAAATTAGCCGGGCATGGTAGCACGCGCCTGTCATTTCAGTGACTTGGAAGGCTGAGGCGGAAGGATCGCTGGAGCCCAGTGGGTCGAGGCTACAGTGGCCAGGTGCATGCCACTGCACTCCAGCCTGGGTGACAGAGTGAGACTCCAACTCGAAAAAAAAACAAAAAGATGGAAAGAGAGGATGAGTGTGATGCAGCTCTCTAAGTCATTTCAGTTTTTGACAGCCTTATTGGTTATTTGAAACCGTGTGACAGCTTGTGGGGCATAAACATTGATGTGTGTGTTGCTTCCAAGGAGACCCTTTCTACTTTCTGCAGAGATAACTCTTAGCTAAAATTCAACCCCTTGGTGCACCTGCTTAGTGGGGAGTGTCAGTAATGGGGACTGTGCCACACAATGCCTGGAAAAGGGCTGGAAAGGCACCTGGAAGGGCATGTGGTCCAGGGTTCTATGTGGTTCCTGCTGTGGCATCTCCCCAGGGCCCACCCAGTCTCTGGCTGGAACCTTCCAGAAGGGGCAGAGTATCCCAAGACGCTGGCCAACCATCATGGTTCATCCAAATATTGTGTTGAAATCTGTCTCGTTATTGTGCATTTGACTATTTATTTATTTAGAGTTGGTATCTCGCTCTGTTGCTCAGGCTGGAGTGCAGTGGCATGATCACAACTCACTGCAGCCTCAACCTCCTGAGCTCAGGCTATCCTCCCACCTAAGCCTCCTGAGTAGCTGGGACTATTCAGGTGTTGCGTAACCATGCCCAGCTTCTTTGTTTGTTTTGTTTTTGTTTTCTTTTTGTAGAGATGAGGTCTCACTATGTTGCCTAGGCTAGCCTTGAACTCCTGGGCTCAAGCAATCCTCCCACTTCTGTCTCCCAAAGTGCTGGGATCACAAGCATGAGCCACTGCACCCAGCCTTCATTTGATCTTTTAGAGCATCAGAAAATAAGATTATTTTACATGTTTGGAAACAGCTCTCCTGTCTTTCCAATCTCCCTCCACCCTCCTCTCACCTTTTTTCCTCTTCTTTAAGGTAAACAGCTTTCATATGAGATGATTTTTAGAACTCTCTCTAGCTTGGTCAACCTCTATGGTCACACTCTAATTTGCAGTGTCCTTTGAAAGTATCCAGTCCGCACCACTAAAAGCAGGATTTCAAAAGGAGAGTTTAGTTGCCCCTAGGAGGAAGACCACTGGTGACATGACATCCCTCCTTCCATCCCCCTCTTATGCTTGACCTTCTCTTCCAAGACCTTAAGTCTTTTCCTATACACCTTATGGGGTGGCATGGAATAAAACAGAAATCAGTACCCACGGCAGGTAGTGGTCTCAGATAGGTAGAGAAAGGTGGGGTCTGGAGACTCTAATTTTGCCAAGTGCTTTATGCTTGTTGATCCTCGGGCACCTGCAAAAGAATGGAATCAATTCCCTAGGAAGAAAGGCATGCATGCTTAGAATCTGGAGGAGGAAATTCATCCTTAGAAAGGGCACCAGGTTAGAAAAAAATTCCTCAAAATCCATGACTCCATGATGTTATTTTATCTTTCTTTTGAGTATATGGATCATATACAAGTGATACTATTTGTGTGTGTGTGTGTGTGTGTGTGTGTGTGTGTGTGTGTGTGTGTGTGTATGTGTGTGTGTGTTGGGATTTCATTCTGTTGCCCAGGCTGAAGTGCAGTGACATGATCATAGCTCACTGCAGCCTGGATCTCCTAGGTTCAGGCAATCCTCCCACCTTAGCCTCCCAAAGTGCTGGGATTACCAGCGTGAGCTACTGTGCCTGGCCAAGTGTTACTATTTCTTACTCCATGCAAAGAAGTGGAAGTATAAAGCGTTTGGTGACAGTATGCCACTGTCTGTTTACTTTTGCGACGAGCAGGCATGGATGGTTCTGGGTGAGGCGAATCTCTGAGGGACTTTCTTTGGTGGAGAACTGGTTACTCAAAGCCTGTAGTGGAAGGAGAGGCTAGTCAGAGCCTGGATTTCTCCCTCGATGCCACTGGCTTCAACGGAAGCTGGCCATTGTTAAAACAAGTCTCTAACAGGTGGTCCATATTGACAAAGGTCATTGGTTTTATTAATTCCTTTTATTCGAGGTTGTGCATTGACAAAATTTGGAGTTGGGGGAACCCTAAAAGTTTTGATTCTATGTTTAGTCTGTGTTTGACTGCATTGCACCATGTGGTGAATACAGACTAAACTAAAGCAAATAACTTAACCCAACCAGTTAAGCAACCACCTAGCCAGATAAAAACCATGAGGAACAGGGATGTGGGGAGAAGGGGAGAAATGGTTTTAGAGACTGTGTGTGTGTGTGTGTGTGTGTGTGTGTGTGTGTCGGGGTCTCACTCTGTCACCCAGGCTGGAGTGCCGTGACATGATCACCACTCACCGCAGTCTCAAACTCCTGAGTTCAGATGATCCTTCTGCCTCAGCCTCCAAGGAACTGGAAGTACAGGTGCAGGTCACCACGCCTGGATAATTTTTTTTTTTTTTTTGAGACCAGGTCTTACTATGTTGCCTAGGCTGGTCTAGAATTCTTGGGCTCAAGTGATTCTCCTGCCTTCGCCTCCCAAAGTGCTGGGATTACAGGCATGAACCACTGCTCCTGGCAGTGTGTCAGTGTTAGTACAAGAATCACCTGTGGTGCGTGGTACAACACAGATTCCTAGGACGTACCGTAGAAAGTCTGGCTTAGTAAGTCCTGGCTGCTGCCCCAGAATGTGCAGTTAGTAGGTATCCCAGATGAGTCTAATGGTCTGTGGTCACTCTTTCGAAAATTATAGGAAGAAATCACCAGGAGTGTGCTGGCTGGCATGCCCTCCCTCCCCAGCTCTTTGATGTAGATCACCCTAGTTACTCTCAGCTGCTAGGACCTCTGACTGGGGAAGGAATAAATAACATTGAGGGAAAATGGCCCCTTTTAATTTCTATTCAATTCAAACAGAAAATTGAAGCTGAAAGATTTCTTTGGGGCTGTTTTGAGAAACAAAGAAGTCATTCAAATGTTAATTATCGCTGGGCGTGGTGGCTCAGCCTGTAATCCCGCGCCTTTGGGAGGCTGAGGTGAGTGAATTGCCTGAGCCTGCGGGTTCGAGACCCGCCTGGGCAGTGAGACCTCATCTCTACAATAAATCAAAAATTAGCCGGGCATGGTAGCGCGCACCTGTAGTTCCAGCTACTCGGAAGGCTGAGGCGGAAGGATCGCCGGAGCCCAGTAGGCGAGGCTTCGGTGGCGGGGAGCAGCCACTGCACTCCAGTCTGGGCGACGGAGTGACACTCCAACTAAAAAAAAAAAAAAAGTTAATTATCAGTAAGAGATCATGCCACTGCCCTTAAGGGGTTCCCTTCCCTAGTATTAGACAAACTGTGGGCCACACGATCCAATGGGCTATGTTTTTAATGAAAAAAATAGAAAGATTAGAGTGCCTGGCAGGTTCTAAGTGTAGAAATTATTTTGTTAAATTTTTGCTCTGTGTGTGTGTGTGTGTGTGTGTGTGTGTGTGTGGATTGGTACTGGTGGTTTGTGATATAAAATGTATTTTTTTTTTACTGTGGGTCATGATGAAAAAATTGGACAGCATCTGCTCTATCCTGTAACGACTCTGGGGCGATATCCCGAGTTTCCGAGAACGGCCTTGACGTGTGAGCGGTATGGATCCCCCAGCTCCATGGGGCATGTGCTGCCGTTGGCAAGGGCTTGTGAAGTGGACTTCCTCGCCAGACTTGCTGCCCTGCACCCTAGCATCAATTTGCTTAAATGAAGCTGGAGTAGGCGGGTGAAAGACATCAATGCCCCTAATAAGATTACATCAGAGGGAGCTGGAAAGAAGGCATGCTCTTTTTTGGAAGTGATAATCGAGAGATGAGGGAATATCAAATTGGAAAAATTGGAGGAGGTTCCTGATTGGAAAGAAGAATCCGAATGCAGGAAATTTGGGGGCTGGTGGGAAGGCTGCCGTGGCAATACAATCAGGAGAGTGCTGATGTGTGGAGGACGGCCCTCTGGGAAGGGCCCCTTGCCCTGTTTCATTAGAAGAGCACCTCGACAGTCTCACCTGCTAGTGGTTGAGCTGGAGGAGAAAACCACAAGACAGAACAACACAGAGACACGTTTTGTTTTCTTTCTTGTTCTAGAAGTCAACGAGTGAGCCTTCCGAGAAGGATGCCCTGCAGCCAGGCCGGAACCTGGTGGCAGCCGGCTATGCGCTCTACGGCAGCGCCACCATGCTGGTCCTGGCCATGGAGTGTGGGGTCAACTGCTTCATGCTGGACCCAGTGAGAGGTCGGGCAGGAGGCCGGGTGCTCGGTGGGTGGCTGTGAGCGAACGTGTGTTATGTGTGTGTGAGGGGAGGGTCAGCCCCGTGGGAAAAGCTGTCCAGGGAGGGCCAGGAAATGGTGCTGGGGGCGAGAAGGAGGAAGGAGACGGAGAGGCCGTGTATACGTCTGGGAAAATCAGGGCGGTGGGCAGAAGAGGGTGTCTTGGTTTCAAGATGAATGATTTAAAGCAGCCATTCCTCAGATGACTCAAATGCCCACCGAATAAACGAATGAAGTGTGCTGGAAGGGGAAGACAGGCCAAGGCGAAGGAGGGGCGGGGCTCGCTGGAGTGTTCCAGCAGCTGTTACTATGGGGAGGAGGGGCCGAGCTTTGCCATGGCTTCCAATGGTTCAAGAAACACCGGATTAAAAAAATAAAGTAGTGTTCCTCGACGTGTAAAACCCTGTGCTAGCCAACTAAAACACATTTATGGGCCAGATGGGGCCTGTAGATGGTCTGCTCGCCACCCACTACCTCCATGTCGAGCTTTTCTACCTTATTTTCTTGGAGGTTGTTTTCCTGAGGTGAATGGGTGTCTCAGCTGAAGCAATGGATGGCGTTGTTTCTTCAAAAGTAGATTCCAAGTTCATTTGGTGTTGAGTGCATGCACACAAACCTTCGGTTAACCCTTGCTGTCTTGATAAGGCTTTGATGAACTCAAGGAAATTAAAATAAGACATGAAATGAAGACTTAGCCTCCTTACAGAGAAAAGTTACCGTATAGAGAGGAGCCTACAGTATTCACTAACAGTTTTAATTTGTGGATGATGTCTTCTACATGTCCATTAATTTGACTTATTTATTGATTCAGTTAGCTGACAGTTGCAACAGAGAAGGTATATTGGGGGAAGAAACCTCTTTAAATGTTTGGTGCAACTAAACCTACCACTGAAACCTAGACTCTAATTAATAATCTTCAATACATTGATAGCTTCATTGTGTGTGGCCCAGGGTCTCAAGGGGAAATGAATTGGATTTATAAACTTTTTTAAATTGTAGAAATGTTCTCATAGGACATTAATGAAGCGCTTTATGTACACAGGGCTTTTTTGCTGACAAATTGAACACAAGGTACAATCAGCAAGCTGGAATCCTCCAAGAGAAACAAGTCGCTTGAGTCCAGGGTTTGTGTGTGCAGCAGAAAGTATAAATCAACACAGGCTCCCTTTGTCCCACGTGCTTTTATAGAACTGGACTTTCACCTCCTTGGAAGCATGGGTACTTAACAAATAAACAAGGGTAGGGTAATAGCGCCAGTTAAATTCTCCAATGAGGTGTCCTCGGGGAGAAACAGTGGCAGAACCAGAGCAAAGTTCCATCTGAGCCCAGGGTGCAGTTTGGGAATCACTGATGTTTGCTGATTTAGGCCTTGCCAGATGTTTGCTGTTTCTCCAGACATTCTGCTCGTTGATGAAAAGATGCCAAACTCTGTAAAATATTTCAAGATGGCTTATTTGGAGCCAAAATTGAGGACTTAAACCCAGGAACACTCATCCTCAGGAGGTCCTGAGAATAGGTGCCCACTCTGGTAGAATGGAGGCTTGGTTATAGACATTTTAGGAAGGCAGGTGTTACAAGAAATCATAAATCAATACAAGTGAGATTTTCATGGTTTGGCCCAGGAAGATGGGACATTTCTAAACAGAGACTTGCAGGTCAGAGGTGGATTCAAAGATTTCTTTTTTTTCTGAATTGGATGGAGTCTCACTCTGTCACTCAGGCTGGAGTGCAGTGGCATGCTCATGGCCACCACAGCCTCGATCTGCTGGGCTCAGGTGATCCTTCTGCCTCAGCCTTCTAAGTAGTTGGAACCACGCCACCATGCCTGACCATTTTTATTTTTATTTGTAGAGAGGAGATCTTGCCAAGTTTCCCAGGCTAGTCTTGAACCATGGGGTTCAGGCATTTCTCTCACCTCTGCCTCTCAAAGTGTTGGGATTACAGGCATAAGCCACTGCTCCCTAGCCCAAAGATGTCTTGACTGATAATTTGTAGTTCCTAGTTAAGGAATTTTGGAAATCAGTAGAGGAGATGCTTTGTTAAGATGAGGGGGTGGAAAACTCCAGGTTTGTTGATATGTAGATGAAATCCTATATGTGGCAGACTTCAGAGAGGAGAGATAATTGTCTTACGATGTCCGGGAGTTCCCAGAGACAGCTTTGCAGGGTCTCATGATAATTTGATTTCCTTTTTTGTTAGGTGATGTAATGCCAGTAAGGTTGGAAAGCAGACTTTTTAATATATAGGGAAATAGAGCAATAAAACCTTATCTGGTGAGTCCTTATCAGGTGTGCCCCCCAAAGCCTTTTAGTTTGGAATTTGGGTAAGGCTTTTTTTTTTTTAAAGGTCAGGTTTAGTTCTCATGCTGGTGCCTCCTTTGTTACCTTTGAGTTGATGGAAGCATAGAAAAAATTAAGTCTCTTCTCGTTTCCATATTGCAGGCAACTGTCTCCAGGAGTAAGTTTCTGTGTATTTGACAGTTTTTTGCCCTCTGCAGACCTAAATGTTTGGAGGAACCATACAGGTCTGCTGGGATTTGGCTAGAACTCTTCTGCATGCTATTGCAGGAAGGGGTCAACCTCCCACTAGAGATATGCCAACGGCTTCTTTGAAATTTTGGCCCACAGCAAGGACATACGATGAGGGGGGACCCACAAAAACCTGGAATTTATTTATAAAAAATCGTGTGTTTGAATGCCTGAGCCTGCGGGTTCGAGACCCGCCTGGGCAGTGAGACCTCATCTCTACAATAAATCAAAAAATCAGCTGGGCGTGGTAGCGCGCGCCC